GCACATGTGGCGGGACATGAGGCTAGAAGCTGAAATGCATTATGGGGAAAAGGGGTGGGCTATATATACAGCAAGAACTAAACCAGAGGAAGGGGGGAGCAGAGACAAAATGCAAAGCACACTTAAAGGTATATGACAGTTATGTGAAACATGACAATTGTAAAGGGTCTCGATATCAATGGCAATAGACAGGTATCTTTGGGCACATGTAGCTCAATAGATCAATTGTATCTTTAACAAATGAGAACAGGGATTTAACATGGGGATGTAAACACTTGTCTATCAGACAACTGGTGTTTTCGGTAAGACTATCACAACTGCATACAATCAGATGGCCAGAGGGAGTGCTTGGAGATTTGTGCACCTTGGGTTGAGCATAGAAGAAGGGAATTTGGGGTTCTTTAGTGTTCAAGTACAACCATGTGTCTTTATCAATAACACTGTTCTGATAAGCTCTCAAAATCAAATTCCTAAATTCCCTAATATAATTGTCAATGACTGACTTAGAGATTGGTCTATACCACTGTTTGTTATTTAAGATTTGCATACACATTTGTTCGTACTGTGGGAGATCTTGAATTACCATGTTTCCCGCCTTTGTCCGCTGGTTTAATAACTATATTTTTTGTGTAAGTGCCTTTCTGTGGGATAAAGACAAATTGCCTGTTTTGGTATTTTTCCAAACAACCTTCTGAATTTCCTTCGTGGTTTGTTGTACGAAGGCCCAAATATTGGGATTATTACTTAATACTGGGAATGTACCTGATTTTTTTTTTGTATCTATGGGGAGGGGGGAACAAGGGGTCACAGGGGGACACATCCACCCTCTGAGTACCATCAAGGTCCACTTGACCCTCTTCCCACAGTTCCATAAGATCTTGCATTGCTCGTAAATCAAGATTAGAGGATTCAGAATTTCCACTGGCCTGAGATCGATATCTATCATTGGGTTTGTCATAGAGAACCTTAAACATGAAACGTCTAGCAAATCAATTATATCTTTTATGATTTCAAAATGATCTACATTAGAGTCTGGGCAAAAGGTCAAGCCCAGTTGTTGTAGTACCTGTGTTTCCTCTGGTGTAAGAAGATGAGGAGGTAGATTTATTATTTCGAAATGGGCTTGTCTTTATCAATAACGCTGTTCTGATAAGCTCTCAAAATCAAATTCCTAAATTCCCTAATATAATTGTCAATGACTGTCTTGGAGATTGGCCTATACCACTGTTTGTTATTTAAGATTTGCATACACATTTGTTTGTACTGTGGGAGATCTTGAATTACCATGTTCCCACCTTTGTCTGCTGGTTTAATGACTATATTTTGTGTAAGTGCCTTTCTGTGGGATAAAGACAAATTGCCTGTTTTCGGTATTTTTCCAAGCAACCTTCTGAATTTCCTTCGTGGTTTGTTGTACGAAGGCCCAAATATTGGGATTATTACTTAATACTGGGAATGTACCTGATTTTTTTTGTATCTATGGGGAGGGGGGAACAAGGGGTCACAGGGGGACACATCCACCCTCTGAGTACCATCAAGGTCCACTTGACCCTCTTCCCACAGTTCCATAAGATCTTGCATTGCTCGTAAATCAAGATTAGAGGATGCAGAATTGCCACTGGCCTGAGATCGATTTCTATCATTGGGTTTGTCATAGAGAACCTTAAACATTAAATGTCTAGCAAATCAATTATATCTTTTATGATTTCAAAACGATCTACATTAGAGTCTGGGCAAAAGGTCAAGCCCAGTTGTAGTACCTGTGTTTCCTCTGGTGTAAGAAGATAGATTTATTATTTCGAAATGGGCTTGTCCATTTCAACCGACACAGGGAGATTTTCCAGGATATTTTTGCATGAATCAAGAGTGTTGGTTGCTAAAAAAAAATAGGTGTAACTTTAGTGTCAACTAGTGCAGAATTGGGATTTGGTACCAAGTGGAGATCACTCACTCAATTTTTCAAATATACCTAAAGCTTTTATACACATATAAAACGCTTGAAGTGTTCTTCTACACTGCTTGTACACATGCGCAAAACCACTTAAATATAAACGCCTGAAAATCTCTTTGCTCTGGTGTGAATGTAGCCTTAGTAAGAAATCACTTCAATATTATTATTTTATTTTTTTATGCAGTTGTAAAATTGCTACTGATTTCTCGCTGGTTAGATTTATGGGTATGTAGTAATCCAGTTATTTAATATTAATTTCTATTCCATCAAAAAAAAAAGTCTCCAACAAATAGTCCTGTATGTTAGATCTATCAACATCTAAACCCAATGGACCTCCAGTTTTCTATTGATGTGTATTTGATCACAATTATTCTTTCAATCACTTCCTCACTGCTTATTTTAATCCCATAAATACCGGACAACTAAATCTCAGCCACGTGCGTTGTGGGCGGCTGAGGTTGGTTGCTGCTCAGCCCCATTCACTTGAACAGGTCACACTCAGCATTTGGTATGCCTGACAAGGGATAGAATTGTGCACCCCTGGCTGCTGCAGCAAAATGGTGAGTGGTTGAGTTGCAGTAAAAATGAGGCTCAATTGCAGGGTTTTTATCTCCCCCCTCCCATCATCATATGTGAAAATGTTTTTTGTTTATCTTTCTTCAATACCGAACTCTAATTAAATTTTCTCTTTTTGCCCAAACTTTTTCTACCAGTAATAACTGACATTGTGAGTAGGTTTGGGTTTGAAGAAACATTCCTTCACTTCCTGTCACAATAATGCAATAGGAAAGCTCTCCAAAATTAAGGAAAATCCCCACTTGGTTGTTACTGGAACAGGTTTTTCCCTCCCCTTCTATTCCAGTGACAACCATAATACTTTGGATATCCTCTCCATTTTTATCCCAGGACAAATAGAGAGGAAGAATTTCCTCAATGGGGGAAACACAGCAATAAAAACTCAACGGGAGTTCGAACTCCTCCACAGTATAAATATCTTTTTTTAAAAAATGTGGCTTTAAAAAGCTTGTATGTTCATTTTTATATAGGAGTTGTACATTAACCAATAAATTTCTAACAAGAAAAAAGAAAGAAAATGAAAACTGTGTGATGTGCCGGGATGGGCACATTGGAACTCTGTCCTCCCAGCGCATAGCAGCAGCTGGGCATTCAGCACTGATGCTGGAGTGAATCAGTGTCATGAATCTCATACATCAATGAATACCCCAAACTTCCAACGCCAAACTTACCAATGTAAGAGCCAACCCTACAGTACTTGCTCTAGTACAGTTCTCATAGCTGGTCGCTAACTTTCCACCTCATTGGTCCATAACAAAAGTCTTGTATTCGTGTCACAGACTACAAGGTGTTCTGTGAACGGATTTGGGTAGAGGAGGAAGAATGTCACAATCACCACCTCATCCCTGGGCCAGATCTAGGGGGCTGCAGGAGTGTGCTTTGCCCCCCCCCCCTGATTTTATTGTGCACCCCCAGGTCTCTAAGAATGCATCCACAGATCCACGAGCCACTCTGATGCAGACAGTTGATGTAAGAGACACTCTTGTGGGGGAAAACTGATGTAAGGAAGGACTCTGTTGAGGACACTGATGTAGGAGGGTATTCTGATGGGGACACTGACTTAATGGAGTACTCTGATAAGGACCCTGATGTAAGGGGGCACTCTAATGGGGACAGCTGATGTAAGTGGGGACTCAATTAGGGACACTGATGTAAGGGGTCACTCTATTGGGGACACTGGTGTAGGGGGAGAATCTGATGGGGACCCTAATGTAAGGGGCACTCTGATGGGGACAGCTGATGTAAGCAGAGAGTCAATTGGGAACACTGATGTAAGGGGGCACTCTAATAGGGACAGCAGATGTAAGGGGGGACTCTGATGGGGAAAATTGATGTAAGGGGGCACTCTGATGGGGACCCTGATGTAAGAGGGCATTCTGATGGAGTCACCTAATTTAAGGGGGTATCTGATGGGGACAGCTGATGTAAGGGGACACACTGATTGGGATGCCTGATTAAAGGGGGCACTCTGATGGAGACACTGATTAAGGGGGAGTAGCCATGATGTAAAGGGGAACTCTGATGAGGACTCCTGATGAAAAAGGGGACTCTGCTAGGGACATCTGATATAAGGTGGCACATGTTCTGTTTAATCACCCTGATTTATTAACAGCCTAATACATAATAGTGTTTCCCAGGTGGCGACACTGTGTGACACACAAAATGTTGCCATTATGCCCCTTGACATTTTTTTTTTCACTGCACCCCCAGATCAAATAGGTTAGATCCGGCCCTGCCTCATCCAATCAGAGAACACCTTGTATTCTGTGATAAGAATATGTCTTCTGATTGGCTGGGCGGATTGTATGGTACTCACATTGGTGTACAGGATTTGTGTCTGTGAGGGTTTTACTGAACGCAGCATCTGCCAGAGACGGGACAACAATTAATCCAAATATTTTTCTTCCTGGAGCTCAGCTTTAATGTGATATTAGAGAAGTTATTTCATCAAAACCATGCTGCCAACGTACAGCAACAGCAAAAAAAACATTCTGACCGGCTCCTTTTTTTTTCAATGCTGCGCACCACAATGCCAGACATGGCCTGCTGATTGGGTGTGCTCCAAAATGTTTGCATTTTTCAATCCTCAAAACATTGGATTGAATAAATGCAACCACAGATATTCTGCTGAGACCCCCAGGACCTGTTACATTTGTTGCAGGCAGTCTGTGTGAAACAATAAAATGCAGTATCTGTCTAGGATTTACATGACACCAATATTACCATTTAGGCCAATTTATTAAAAGAAAGTAACAAAATGTTAGTACTTAACACTGAGGCTAGGTATTGATGACAGGCAGCGCGCATGCGCCAGCACCAAGCTGAAAGTTATGCCGGAACTTTTCTGCGTATCTTTAGTTCCTACCCGAGACATTTCGCTGCACCCGCCATGCGTCCGTTCCCATGGCAACAGAGCTCACCTGTGTGTTGTGCCAGCTGTTGTTGTGGACCTCGCCTTGCGGTGTGTGCTGGGATGTGGCTCCGTGCATTGAAGGATGAGCAGGTGAGGCGGCCAGTGTGATGTTAGCTTCATGGATTAGAATTAAAATCGAGAGCTTTTGTCCATGGCAACCAACCAAATTCCTCGTTTTACTTCCCTGGGGATAAAAGCTGATTGGTGGCTGTGAATAGCTGATCTCCCTTCATATACATTTCCTTGCTTTATTTTGTACATCATGTATGGCCATGTCTGTACGATCACTGTGTTCTGTCTGCAGGGGTTCACATCTGAGCACACATCCAGGGCTGACACCGTATAGGTCCATAGTATACTGGAGGCGGGGCTGCAAAATGTACATGTGACTGAATAGGCGCGGTGTAGTCATCACTAGAATGGGAGCTCTTTCCCCTCAAATTTTCCACCCTAGCACAAATCCTCTCCCACAAATCCCTCCCTCCTAGCACAAATCCCCCTCCCCAATCCCCTCTTTTAGCACAAATCCCACCCCCATCCCCTCTCCAGCACAAATCCCACCCCCATCCCCTCTCCTAGCACAAATCCCCTCCCCAATCCCCTCTCCTAGCACAAATCCCCCCTCCAATCCTCTCTCTGTTAGCACAAATCCCCCCCCAATCCCCTCTCCTAGCACAAATTCTCTCCCACAAATCCCCCCTCCTAGCACAAATCCCCTCCCCAATCCCCTCTCCTAGCACAAATCCCCCCTCCAATCCCTCTCTCTGTTAGCACAAATCCCCCCCCCAATCCCCTCTCCTAGCACAAATTCTCTCCCACAAATCCCTCCCTCCTAGCAAAAATCCCCCCCCTCAATCCCCTATCCTAGCACAAATCCCCCCCCCCCCCAATCCCCTCTCATAGCACAAATCCTCTCTCACACATCCCTCCTTCCTAGCACAAATCCCCCCCCAATCCCCTCTCCAAGCGCAAATCCCACCCCCATCCCCTCTCCTTGCACAAATCCCACCCCCCCATCCCCTCTCCTAGCACAAGTTCCCCCCCCACACATCCCCTCTCCTAGCACAAATCTCACCCCCCATCCCCTCTTCTAGCACAAATCCCCCCTCCAATCACCTCTCATAGCACAAATCCTCCACTTCCCAATTCCCTCTCCTAGCAAAAATCCTCCACTCCCTCCCCAATCCCCTCTCCTAGCACAAATCCCCCCCCCCAATCCCCTCTTTTAGCACAAATCCCACCCCCCCCCCACCCCCACCCCCTCTCCTAGCACAAATCCTCCACTTCCCAATCCCCTCTCCTAGCACAAATCCTCCATCCCCTCCCCAATCCCTCCCTTCTAGCACAAATCCCCCCCCCCATCCCCTCTCTTAGCACAAATCCCCCCCTCCAATCCTCTCCTAGCACAAATACCCCCCCCCCCTCCAATCCCCTCTCCTAGCACAAATGCTCTCCCACAAATCCCTCCCTCCTAGCAAAAATCCCCCCAAATTCCCTCTCCTAGCACAAATCCCCCCCCCATCCCCCTCTCCTAGCACAAATCCCCCCCCCAATCCCCTCTCATAGCACAAATCTTCTCCCACAAAACCCTCCCTCCTAGCTCAAATACCCCCCCCCAATCCCCTCTTCTAGCACAAATCACACCCCCCATCCCCTCTCCTAGCACAGACCCCCCAATCCCCTCTCCTAGCACAAATCCCACCCACTCCCATCCCCTCTCCTAGCACAAGTTCCCCGCCACCAATCCCCTCTCCTAGCACAAATCCCCCCCCCCCCCCCCCCCCCCATCCCACCACCTCCTAGCACGAATTTCCCACAAGCCGCCCCCCAGCACTAATTTTCCCCCAAATTCCCTTTCCTAGCAAAACTCCCCCAGCACAAATCCCACCCCCAATCCCCCCTAGTACAGATTCCCCCCCAAACACTCCTCCTAACATGGATTCCCCCCTTCTGACACAAATCCCTTCCCCCCCCCAATCCTCTCTCCTAGCACATCCCCATCTCCCCTCCTAGCACAACTCTCACCCCCAGCACTAGTCACTTCCTTCAATCCCGCCACCTAGGGCAAATTCCCCCAAATCCCTCCTCTAGCTAAAACTCCTCCAAATTACCCTTCCCAACATAAAATCCGCCCACCTTACCCAAGTTCCCTCCTCCCCAAATCTTCCTCCTACTCCTAGCTGATATCTCCTTATTGCTTCTCGTATCACGCATTTCAACCCCCCCCCCCCCCCCAATAATCCCTACTACCCTTTGCGGGAAAAAGTAGCCCCCATCCCTTCTCCTGCACAAACCTCTCATCTCAGCACAAATGATTGTTACCCCTCCCCCACTTTCATTGTGTACAGTTTCCCCGGCCTGTAAGCTCCCCCCCCAAACTTACAGGTGGAAAGCCAGGAGAGGTGAAGGTTCTGCTGTGTTTGATTACCCCGCCTCCAATCTCCTCCAATGACCTCTCATCTCTCGAAAACAGGGAGCCAGGGAATGAATCAAACATTGAACATACACTGATGTGAGAGCGATCTTGCATCATCTGCTTTACGGAGGATGACTCCACTAATTGGGGGAGGAAAGCACATCCTGCACCTCTGGGCTCACTCCTGTCATTTCTCCTTTGCAAGTTTCAGTGCTCCAGGCTGCCCTCCCCTTGTCCCAGCCATGGGTGCGGAGATGGGGGAAGGCACTCAGTGGCCAAGCACAGCGTCCACGGAAAGACCGGTCTGGGGGGACACCACTGAAATCTGAGATGCGTAGTCCACCCAAGCATCACCCTAGATCCGGCAATGGCGTAGAGTAGGGAAACCAACAGCCATGGCTGCACCCTAGCCGGCTTACTTGTTTGCCTAGTGGTAGCGCCAGCCCTGACCACATAACAATACAGTCCACATGACACAAATAAATTACATTCACTAAGTGGTATGAGACTCAACGTGCTGTGTGGAGAATGACACCACTTACCCTGTAAGCATTATGTGGCCCCTGGGGTAAGACAGAGAAAGGTAATAACTGCTTCAATACTGCCATAAGTATATATTTCACCTGGTAGTGAAGCGGTTTTGCCAGGATCACGGTTGAGGCTACAACCATGATTTTAGTGTTGGCGATTTACTTTTATGTAGCCGCTGGATTACTTTTACAGGTGGTGGAAGCAGCCACAACCTTTACTGGGCTCTCCCGTGGGATCGGGGAGCCCAGTAAAGATGCAACTGGCAGCTTTGGCTCGCCCAGAAGAAAATGGTGTTTCTCCTCCCCCTGTGTGTCACCAAAAACCGGAAACAACATGGATTTAGTCACTTCCGGTTTTGATTCTGTGTTTACTGGCTGGTTACCAGCTAGTGATGCAGCCCATCAGACTGATCTGTGTCTGATCTGTGTCTAATCAACTGAATTGGAGGCCAAAGGAGAGATCTGGCATCTAATAGACCCCAGATCTCTCCATAAAGTGGACCTGTCATGGCACATGCAATCACAAGGGATGTTGTTCATCCCTTGTGATAGTAATAAAAGTCATCACCAAAAAAGAAATAATAAAGGTACAGTGTAAAAATAAAATAAATAATACAATTTTAGAAAAAAATTAAAAGCACCCCTGATCTCCCCACTCTTCCATAAAGGCCTGATTTGTGGAGTTCATGACTAATAGTTGTCCCGTGGACAGATTCTCCCACCTGAGCTGTGGATCTCTGCAGCTCCTCCAGAGTTACCATGGGCCTCTTGGCTACTTCTCTGGCTAATGCTCTCCTTGCCCGGCCTGTCAGTTTAGGTGGATGGCTATGTCTTGGTAGGTTTGCAGTTGTGCCATACTCTCCATTTTCAGATAATGGATTGAACAGTGCTCCGTGAGATGTTCAAAGCTTGAGATTTTTTTTATAACCTAAGCCTGATTTAAATTTCCCCACAATGTTATCTTTGACCTGTCTTATGTGTTCCTTGGCCTTCATGATGCTGTTTGTTCACTAATGTTCTCTAATGAACCTCTGAGGGCTTCACAGAACAGTTATATTTATTATTTTGTATAACAGTTGTATTGTTATTAATTTTATAACCTAACCCTAATTTAAATTTCCCCACAATGTTATCCCTGACCTGTCTGGTGTGTTCCTTGGCCTTCATGATGCTGTTTGTTCACTAATGTTCTCTAATGAACCTCTGAGGGCTTCACAGAACAGTTCTATTTATTATTATTTTTTCTAACCCAAAACAATGTTATCTTTGTATGGCCTTATGATGCTGTTTGTTCACTAATGTTCTTTAAAATTTCACAGAACAGTTGTACTGAGATTAAATTACACACAGGTGGACTCTATTTACTAATTTAGGTGACTTCTGAAGGCAATTGGGTCCACAAAATTTTAATTAGGGGTATCAGAGTAAAGAGAGCGAAATACAAATGCACGTCACACTTTTCAGATATTTATTTGTAAAAAAAATTCAAACCATTTATCATTTTCCTTCCACTTAACAATTATGTGCCAATTTGTGTTGGTCTATCACATACAATCCCAATAAAATACATTTATGTTTTTGGTTATAACATGTCAAAATATAGAAAACCTCAAGGGGCATGAATACTTTTTCAAGGCATTGTACTTGTATGAAAAACTATTCTGTTATCTTTGTATTGCTTCCTTTGTGTGAAATCTCTGGTGTTCCTGCCTGTCCCTCTACTTTCCTATTAAAACTGATCACACTAGGCAGGAGAGCACAGAGTGGTCAGTTCTGTAGCTATGCTAGGAACTCAGCCTGCTCTCCTCCTATGATCAGACTAGTCCTGACACACCCGCCCCCCTGCACACCCTTTCACTGGGAAGTTCAGTGCACTGCTGTTTTTTCTCCCCTTCGCTCTTTGTTCTCAGCTGCATAAGGAGCTTAGAGGGTATGTGATCACTTAGAAAAGAGGTGAAAAAAACGGTATTTACAGGGTTCTTTTTGTGTACACACAAATGTTTTGCCTTTCATTTCTGTTTTAAACTAATTGGGTTGTTTTACAAGGTGAGGGTTTACATATACTTTAAAGTATAACTAAAGGCAAAACTTTTTTTTAGTTTTGAACAGAGTGTAGAAGAATTAGAGCCCAAAGTGAAAGAAAATCCCACATTTTGGGTTGTTACCAAAACAGGAATAGAGGGGAAATCTTTTAAAGGGGGCACAAAGTTCTAGTGACTCTGGTGACAGCCATGATTTCTTCTCACCAACTGTTTTGGCTATGGGACAGGAAGGGATCAAAATGTAGTTTTCCCAAGGCACATGTTCCTGCAAGTGGCTGTAAATAGCGTTTGGGTGATGTAGTGATCACAGGCTGGTAATGGTAGAGAATCCAGAAAGAAAAAATACCACCAGCACACCAAGGAATCCTCAAAAGGGGTCCAGAGCTTGATTTAGTGGTCACATAATATCAACAGTGGCAAAGTTTTGGAACCACACGGGGCCCCTTCGTCAGCAAGTGACAAAGTGCAGTGAAAACCAAAAACACATTTAACAGACAATACACCAATCAGTGAAGACAATTAGGGTAAAACTCCACCCCCTGACATCCTATAGACGTCATAAGCCCTCGAAATATACCAGTTTTAAATAATAATAATAATAATAAAGTGAGCATACCTGGCAATAAACAAAAAATCAAAATAGCGATCATGAAATGGAAAATATAATAGAATGGAAAATATAATAGAATTGTTCATTGTTTCCTAACATTCTGCAATACAGTGATTTAGCTTCCTTGGATTACTTTGTCTGATTTAAATAGAAAACATGATGTTTATCAGCTTTATTAGGATTGATGTTCATGGATCAGTCTCCAGGGTCCATGCGAACAAGGTAAAGAATCATTGTAATAGTTGCCAGAGAAAGGAGCGTGGGGGATCCAGAGCACCAACTGCAGAATTTCCTTTTTTTTTCATCTTTTGTTTTCTCTTTTGGAAAATTCTGTTATACACAAAACTGCTCCGGGTCTTCCTCCACATTTCTGGATAATTGTGTTTTATTTGGAAGAGTTCCATATGGCACCATTGCAGTATACCTGAGCTGCTTCAGTGTCTGTTCCTGGATATCTTTATTCATATACTGGTATGCCAACAGGTTGTTTTTTTTGCTGAATAAAATATATGGATGTCTCATTTTTTTCATCTTGTTTTCATCTCTTCATCTTGTTAAAGGGGGCTTACAGATTTTGATACCCCCCCCGCCCGCAGACCCCCACAACCACTGGCCAGGGTTGTGGGAAAGAGGCCCTTTTCCCCATCAACATGGGGACAAGGTGCTTCGGGGGGCCTTCTGTCCCAAAGCACCCCCCGATGTTGAGAGCATGTGGCCTGGTGTGGTTCGGGGGGGGGGGGGGGGGCGTTCGCTCATCCCCCCCTTTTCCTGACCTGCCGGGCTGCATGCTCAGATAAGGGTCTGATATGGATTTTGGGGAGGACCCCACGCCATTTAACAAAAAAAAAAATTTTGGTGTGGGAGTTCCCCTCAAAATCCATACCAGACTCGAAGGACCAAGGACTTGGTATGGATGCAGGGGGGACCCCATGCCGTTTTTTAAATTTTTTTAACTGTCGGCAGTTCTTTCTTTTACATTCAACTGTCAGCCAGGAACCCCACTGACTGCTGAAACAACGCATGGTTTTCACTATTAAAATACCGCATACTTGAAAAAATAACTCGTGGCATTTTAGTAGCATTTTTTGTGAATTCAAACTTTTTTTTTTTTAAATGCTATGCGGTATCCTACCGCATATTCGGATGTGGTAAGATACTGCTTAGTGAATTGTGCCTCTCACCGGGCCCCCTACTGATCTCAGGCAATGCCTGAATGCCCGAATGGTCAGTCTGCCCCTGGTCCTGGGTTTAGAAATACTTTAAGTATTGGTGTCATAATCATTCAGAAATTAAGTTTCTAAATCTGACTTGTATTTTTCAGGTGCCAGGAACCCTGCAAGTGCTTGATCCAGAAGGTGAATATAGACTAACCATATTTCTGAGCAAATTAGCACAGCCTTGCAAAACAGACCAGCTTACAATAAAAAAATATTTAAGTGGTTGTTCTGCTTTGGACCCGTTCCCAATAACATACAACACCACAATGGCTACCATGTGAGTGACAATAAACCAATTCAACACAGGAACCTCATATAATATGTTGCTCAGGAATCAGTTCAGCGTGTTAGGAAATCTCTGCATGTGATAGTTTAGACTTCCTTTAACGTTCTGTAGTTATCCTCTACTTAATCCAAGTATATAGATCCAAACCCACCCAACAAAATCTCATATAAGCCCCCCTCACTGCAAGGGTTAATTGCACTTAATTACCACTGCTATGATCAGTTATGACACCAGCCATTTGATGGACTGACAGTCCAGTTAAGAGCATAGGCAGCAGTGAAAGTTGTCATTCACTCCTTTTCTTGAATGTAACTGTTTTTGGAATTAGTTAAATTGACAGTTTTTGTTCCACTTTAGCATGTTTATGGCCTTTCAAAAGTTTTTTTTATTCAATCTTTATAAATCTGGAGTTTTCACTAAAATGAAAGAAATGTAGAAAATACATTTTTAAAATACTGTTTTACTTCATGATTTGCTTTACTAAATGCTTTTTGTCATTCTTTTTTAAGATGATTCTTTAAAGAGGGCTGGAACCTGGTAAGTGGAGCCCATTTCAAATAATGCTGCATTCACATAGATTTCATCACTTAGCTTTTGCCAGCTTAAAATTCAGTTAGAAATGGGAAGCATTTGGCTTTAGAATTTAGTAATACAGTATAGTGCCAGAGTCTGCAACCTAATGCAAAAAGGGGTTAAAATGTTATCTTCTAATATTGATTCATTGTTTCTTTTTTAGTAAAACATATACTTGTGAAAATCAGGAGTTTGCAAACAAGGTAAGCAAGAGATGGTTATGTATTAGTTACATATTGGCAAGCAAATTATTTATACAATGTACAGTATAATATATTAACCTTTCTAGATATAGAGCAAACTATTCCAAATTATCATCTAGCAGTTTTACCATTCATTTTCTATAGTGCTGTGTACATTTTCGGTGCTATATAAATGCCTGTAATAAATAATACATAGCTGATATGATCCGACACATTAATTTTTGTTGCCCTTGTGCCTAGACTTACAAAGTAAAATATTTCAGAGACATGGAAATAAAAGAATGAAGTAGAAACCTGTACAGCTATTATTGATGTTTCTGTAATATAACTAATATAACCCCAGAACAAGACCCTGTCTCTTGTTTTGCCAGTACAGAGTTCAACTTTTAGAGGTGGAGGGACTTGTAAAGAGTGTGGATAAATTAGAAAGCTCTGTTTCAGGATCCATGCCTTTTTTAGGGCTCGTTCACACTAGGCTGTTTTGCCAACGCTTGCCAAACGCCCCTATAGCGTTTGGCAAGCGTTGGTCCGGTGTTTGTGGAGCGTTTTTAACGCTCGGCAAACGCTCCGCAAACGCCGCATGCGCGGTTTAGCGGCGGTTGCTAGGCATTTGCCGAGCGTTAATAACGCCCCACAAACGCCTATAATGCAGTTTGAGTGGTGTTCCCCGCTCCGCAAACGCCCCGCAACCGCGTCGCAACCGCACCGCAAAACGCCGGCCGGGCGTTTGCGGAGCGGCACCATAGACGAGAATAGGAGGCTTCAAAGCCTCCTGACTCGTCCAGAGGCGTCCGTTTTTTGCCGCGACGCAACGCGACGCGACGCAAACGCTCCCGTTAGAACAGCACCATGTGCTGTAATGTGCAGAATTGGCAGAGGCGTTTGGGAAGCGGTAAGATAAAAACGCTTCCCAAACGCCTCTCTGCCGCCTGCACACAAGGCTAGTGTGAACGTAGCCTTATTTCTGTCCCATGCACTGGTCAACACAATGAGAAAGCTGTCATGCCTATGCGAAAGTGTGTGTGTATGTATGTATGTATGTATGTATGTGTGTGTGTGTGTGTGTATATATATATATATATATATATATATATATATATATGTATGTGTATGTATATATATATATATATATATATATATATATATATATATATATATACATACACACACACACTTCGGCTCTCACACCTGTTCACCCCTTATGGACCAAAGCAATTCTTACATTTCTGATATGGGCCTGTTTATTTGGCGATAACTTTGTCATTACTTAAAGTGCTGCTAAATCCAGGACCCTGCATTCACTGTATCTGGTCTCCCACAGTACACAGAATATGGAAATGCAATTTTAGTAAATAAAAACTGTTAAATACCTTTTGTCATCAGCAGTATATATCAGTCTTGTGACTTCTATCAGTGTCCGGCTGAGCATTGATTAAAGCTTGTAGGAGGGGTTTTCATTCTCCTCGTCTGGACAGTGCTCTGATTGACCCTGTGCTGATCACATGCACCCTCTCAAAGAAAAAAACCTCTCTAGCAATACACACCAAACTGAGCATGTGCAGAGTGTATCCTAGAGCCCTGTTCTATCAGTAGATGGATTGGGGTCAGTAGAAGAAGGGGAGGATCAGATAAGACAGGATAAAAGGAACTCCCCAGCGTACCCCCTTTGCTGACTCCCAATAATAAGAAGAGTCGACTGCAAGTATGGCCCAAAAGCCCATCCTTTTTACACAATGCTGAGGATTACCCTTTAGGTTCCACAGTGAGTATAACAAGCTTGATTTACTGCATATACAGACTGATTTTACTTTTGTGGGTTTAGTAACACTTTAAGATAAAAATGTAATGCACATATGTTTTAAGGACAAATAAAGCTTTTGTTTTGTGAATGTCTTGCAACAATGATTTTTTTCACAATCCTTTAAACAATTAAATGTAACAAAACACACAACAAAATACACTTTTTCTTTGTTTGAGCAGTGTTAGTTTAAAAATAGTGTTACTTAACATAAAAAAGTGCACATTTTATTCTGTAATTTGTCCTGTTTAAAATCACACTAAAATATGATTCCAGTACAAAGCATGGCAAAGTTATTTACAAATGAAATAAAGTGGGTTTTTTTTTTTCTATTTTGCATTATTTTTCATGTGAAATTTGTAAATATATGTTAACTGCTTCCCCGCCGCCCTATAGCAGAAATACTGTTACAGGGCTTCAGGGGTGCGCAAAATCATGTATATATATATATAAGTGATTTTGTATTTCTGGATAGAGGGGCGCACCCTACCCGTGCCACCTTTCGCGGCTGTCAGTCACCGGGTCCTGGCCGGTGATTACCTGCCGGTGCCCGATGATTACCAAAGATCTCCAGCGGGGAGGAGGGCAGCTTTGTTTACTAACAGTCCTCCTCCCCATCCAGAGCAGTGTGCTTTCAGTGAAGCACCAACACCCCCCCCCCCCCAGTAAAACACTCCCAGCACACAGTTAATACTTTGATCACCCCTCATGTTAACCCCTTCCTGCCCAGTGCCATTAGTACAGTGTCAGCGCTTTTTTTTAGCACTGATCACTGTATTGGTGGCACTGGGGATGTCATTGACACCAAGTCAGTTCCCTCCAGTGTCAGAATGTCTGCCGCAGTCCCGCTATAAGTTGCTGATTGCCGCCCTTACTAGTTAAAAAAAAAAAAAAAAAATTCCAGTATCTATACCGCCATTTTTAAACGCTATAACTTTCACGTAAACCAATTAATTTACACGTATTAGGATTTCTTTGAAGAAAGACATATAGCAGAATACATTTTGGTGTAAATGTATGACAAAATTTGATTTTCCTAATTTTTTTTACTGGACATGTTTAATAGCAAAAAGTCAAAAATATTGTTTTTTTTCTCAAAATTGTTGGTCTTGAATAACGCACAGGTGATCAAATACCACCGAAAGAAATCTCAATGCGTGGAAAAAAAAGGATGTAAATGTCATTTGGGTGCAGCGTTGCATGACCGCGCAATTGTCAGTGAAAGTATCGCAGTACCGCAGTGCACAAAATGGTCTGGGCAGGAAGGGGGTTAAATCCTCAGGAGGTCAAGTGGTTAAAGGGGTAAAAATATTAATGAACAAAACAAACAAAAACAAATGAAAAAGTTTATAAAATATTGGTTAATAAGATAGAAACTGAAAAAAATAATTAGGAGGAAAATAATAATTGAATGGAGAAGGAGAATAAGGAGTTAATTAGGGATAGTTAGAGTAAACTAAGGGTTAATAAGGGGTTTAACAGTGGAACATTTAATAAAAAAAAAACAACAGCTTTTTTTTTACTTGTTAGGTTGTTTTAAAGTGGTTGTAAATGCAAATATTACAAAAATTTACTTTTTGCCATAAATAAATACATTTTAATGTAAACATACATACAGCTTTGAGTGTACCTCAGAAAAATGCTCCCTTAGCTTGTCTCAACCCACCAAAAATAGTTGGTCTGTGGGTGTGGCTTAGAACCAGAGAATAGTAGTGGAGATGTGATGTCACAGAATCCCTCCAGTTATACACACCCTTCAGACTCGGCTCAAGAACGTGCACATCTATCTGTCATCTCTATGCCTGCAAGAGTGTCTCCTGAGTGCATTCAGGGGAATACACAGGTGCCAGTGACTATGTCAGCTCTGCTTACAGCACAGGATCTGTGCTGATCAGGAGAAAGCTGGTAGGAAGGGGTTAATGTTAAAAAACCTAGGAATCCTGCAGCCTAAAGTGGCAATGTGGACCAGGAAACATTCTCATGTAAAACTCTATAGACAGAAATTCACAGATTAGGTGCTGTGAATAGAGCAGGACAATAATCAGCTGTCAGCAGACTTACCTAGATAAGTACAGCATTACTGAAGTGATGCCGATCTATGTCATAAATGACTGGTGCTGAGTTCTCCATCTTGTGAATGCAGAGACCAGCAGGGAGAGGACACCCGCTCTCGCACCCTTTTGCAGTGTATTACATGGAGGCTCATGCTGGTCTCGTCTTCAGCACAGCCTGTCACTCACAGAAGGGGAGTGGCGACACCATTTTTCTGCTTTTGTCATATTTATTCTGTTCAGAAGAGTAGGGGGGATTTCTGGAGAAGGGGGTTGCTTCAAAATACCAAACTAAGCTCAATTGCTTAGTAAAGATAAAATCTATTCAGCCGTAGGATTAGATTGATTTCTGTTGTTTAGGTTTACAACCACTTTAACTGACTTCATATACAGATAAAATTAATCCCTTTTGATCTGTAGATAAATAAACAAATACAAAATGAAACATTATTTGTTGTTGATAAACATTGCCAGACTTATTTTCTTTGACAGCTCCAGCTGTCAGATATCTGTGTACTCAAATGCCACTAGCTGTACAGTATCTCACAGAAGTGAGCACACCCCTCACATTTTTTGTAAATATTTTATTCTATCTTTTCATGTGACAACACTGAAGAAATGACACTTTGCTACAATGTAAAGTAGTGAGTGTACAGCTTGTATAACAGTGTAAATTTGCTGTCCCCTCAAAATAACTCAACACACAGCCATTAATGTGTACACTGCTGGCAACAAAAGTGAGTACACCCCTAGGTGAAAATGTCCAAATTGGGCCCAGTTAGCCATTTTCTCTCCCTATTGTTATGTGACTCATTAGTGTTACACATTCTCAGGTGTGAATGGGGAGCAGGTGTGTTAAATTTGGTGTTATCTCTCTCACTCTGTCATACTGGTCACTGGAAGTTAAACATGGCACCTCATGGCTCTCTGAGGATCTGAAAAAAAGAATTGTTGCTCTACATAAAGATGGCCTAGGCTATAAGAAGATTGCCAAGACTTTGAAACTGAGCTGCAACACGCTAGCCAAGACCATACAGTGATTTAAGAGGACAGGTTCCACTCAGAACAGGCCTCGCCATGGTCGACCAAAGAAGTTGAGTGCATGTGCTCAGCGTCATATCCAGAGGTTTTATTTGGGAAATAGACGTATTAGTGCTGCCAGCATTGCTGCAGATATTGAAGGGGTGGGGGGTCAGCCTGTCAGTGCTCAGACCATATGCCGCACACTGCATCAAATTGGTCTGCATGGCTGTTGTCCCAGAAGGAAGCCTCTTCTAGAGATGATGCACAAGAAAGCCTGCAAACAGTTTGCTGAAGACAAGCAGACCAAGGACATGGATTACTGGAACCATGTCCTGTGGTCTGATGAGACCAAGATAAACTTATTTGGTTCAGATGGTGTCAAGCGTGTGTGGCGGCAACCAGGTGAGGAGTAAAAAGACAAGTGTGTCTTGCCTACAGTCAAGCATGGTGGTGGGAGTGTCATGGTCTGGGGCTGCATGAGTGCTGCCGGCACTGGGGAGCTACAGTTCATTGAGGGAACCATGAATGCCAACATACTGTGACAAACTGAAGCAGAGCATGATCCCCTCCCTTCGGAGACTGTGCCACAGGACAGTATTCCAACATGATAACGACCCCAAAGTCATCACCCTGGCTCTGGAGCCGTTGCTGTCGATCTCTTCTCTTCCCTGAATCCAGGGCTGGGACCCGATCATATGATCGGACTGGAGTGCCCTCCGCATAGGTAACTATGCAGACTTTTCCTTTATCGGGTAGATCAAACAGGCTTAGAATGGGGGTGGAATACATTTAAGTATAGTTAGTGTTTGACTGAACATCCACTGTCAATGGAATATTTAACAAATCAAAAGGGAGCAAATACAAGTTAATTATTGGAGTTAACATAAATTGTAACATTTACTTTAATTAGTTACTTTTGATATGCCCATGTGAATGAGCCCTTAAAAGCTAATTTTATCAGGTTGGATAGCCAATATCAGGGGCAGATTGACCATTTGGAAACTCGGGTCAGTAGGGGGCCCCATGAGATGCCCCTGGTACCTTTTTCATAGGCTCTTTTGAGTTTGGGCAAGGACACAGGGGCCCCATGATCCCCTATTGCCCAGGGGCCCTATGAGTTGTCAGTCCGCCCCTGGCCAATATGTTTGTCCACAGAAGTGTTCTTTACTTTCACTGGTCCAGTGCAGCTCTGATGGAAGCCAAGGTATACCATCACACTGCTCAGACTGTGCTACAGTTGTCTATTGGAAGCCACCAAATAAAACTTGAATGCTTGGGAACCCTTGTTCACTAAAAATTCAATAAATTATACATTACAGTTTAACTTTCAACACATACCAAAATTCTTCATCCTGATAATATTTATAATTCAAAATAAGATTAAAACTGTCTTGACATTTTTGCTTCTAAATCATCTTTTCCATCATTCCAACACTGTATTGTAATAAAACTATTTATAGACTCTATTTTGTTGTTATGACCTGAATATCATTATTATTATGGTTATTCTTAGTGATGCTTGGGTGATGATAACATCTTCTCTATTTCAGCAGCAACCAATAAATTCACCAAATGGAAAGCTACAAGTGCTTGGACCTAAAGGTAATTACAAGACAGGCTGAACTAACAAAAGGTAAACCTGTCTTACGATGGGGTTTATTGGTACATTATTAGGAAGTGAAGTACATTTAGCCTTGTTAATAGATGGCTTATTTTACCTTTATTCAGGTCAGTCATTCACTGATTGTACAATCTGAATTATGTTATGCTGTAAAAGGGTAAAGCTGAAATCCAGGCAAATATAAAATACATAGATTAATGTATTTAATTTATGTACAAAGTTGTTAAAAAAAAAAGAAGATATTTGCAATTATCTCTTTTACAAACAATGTACGGCATAGGTATGAGGAAGGGGGAGGCAACATTTTTAACTATTTCAATCAAAAACCACCTCCAAAATAAATACTAAAACCCCACAACACAAACAACACCTTCCCCTGAAGGTGTAACAAATTATATATGTGAAAGTGTTTAACAAAATAAATTTAAACAACAACTGTAAAGTCCATCAATTAGTCCATCAACTATTACCCCTAATTACCCTAAAATGTCATAGTGAAAAATAGTTCAAACGGTTCAAAATTCTTCCAACGTCCAAGTACTCCAAATGCGATCGTTTCCCTTCTCCAAAAACGTCACTTCCCTTGACGCGTTTCGTCATCGACTTATGATTACGTCGATGACTAAACGCGTCAAGGGAAGTGACGTCAAGACGCACACAGGAACCGGAAGTTGACCGGTGGCCATTTTGGAGAAGGGAAACGGTCGCATTTGGAGTACTTGGATGTTTTTCCTGGATGGCTGTGAGGTCTGCTTGCTATAAACAAGTGATTTTAAAGGCTTTTTAATGTAAGCAGTATGAATAAAGGTCATTTTACTATATGATTGGCAGTATTACACTATTATGTCCCTCATGTTTTATCTCTGGATGGAGTGAAGCGCCTGGAGACATTGGGATCATTGAGATTAAGGAATCCAGGGAGGATTGTGGAGATTACCTATTCCTGGGAAAGCTGTTGGATCATTATAAACATGTGCTATTTGAAGTGTTGGTAAGGGTACCCTTACTTTAAGTAGAAGTGCACACTAGTTTGCAACTTTTTGTGGCACTGAAGGGTGATTCACACACACAGTGTTTTTCACTAATTAATTCACGGTTTTTTAGCGTTTTTTCATTTTTTTCTCACATTTATTCACTGTACTAAGTGCGGGGGATGAATTTAACTTATGTTGTATGAAGGATAATGCACTGTGATATTTTTCTTTTTTTGAGGTATATACATCTGGGAGATCGTTGGAGAATTTTGAACAGTTTGAACTATTTTTCACTATGATATTTTAGGGTAATTAGGGGTAATAGTTGATGGACTAATTGATGGACTTTACAGTTGTTTAAATTTATTTTGTTAAACACTTTCACATATATAACATTTTTAACTAGACTTACAGCCTTTACTTCCACTTAAAAAAAAATAAAAGCAAGAATGAGAAGCAGCACAAGGAGCCAATCAGATGTGCTGCAGTGTAAGAAGCATGCTGATAGGAGGACAGAGCAGAGAGGTGAGCTTAGTGTGCTGCTTTTGCCTTCACTGTTCAGTCACAGAGTGAAGGTGGGCAGGAGCTTGGTAAGTGAAACTGCAACCGAGTCAGGTCCCCTGCTCTGTCGGGCAAGGATGTGCTGTTTGTCAGAGCTATGTAAATCTCAGGCCAAAATAAAAAATATCACGTGTATCCCTTATTATTATAATTACTAATAGCAGCAAGCACCTAAGCTATCACAGCCGGGTGCCCACACTGAAGATGCGATGCCGGCCTCCTGGAATAAAGGATGGCCGGTGAAACGGGCTGCAGAGGACACACCGAGGGACTGAGGGACAGGTAAGTGGCTGTTTTTTAAAAGTCAGCAGCTACAGTTTTTGTAGCTGCTGACTTTTATTTTTTGACAGCGTGAGTGGAACTCTGTTTTAAAAATACTAGTCCACCTAACCCCTATACATAAACAGCACTACTAATAATATAATGTGCTAATTTATCCATAATTAGTAATATTCTTTATCTATAGGTGGATTGTTGTTTTTAGAACTGTACTTTTCATATGCATACATCTCAGGCCTAGATGGACAAAAAATCCTTTGGGTAGATAAGACCGCATGTAATACATGTATTTCAGCTGCATATTTAGCTGTTTGCCTACAGTTCACATTTTCTTGACTTTTTGTTTTGAGGATCATTGTGTATTTGTTCATTGGCGATACACTACATGCTTACTGACAGTGGCACTCAAATGCTTATTGAACCTTGGTGGAGAATTGACTGAACCTGTTCTGGCAGATCCCACTGACATCCCACAATGCAAGACCTATGCTTTTTTATTGTCTGTTGAGGGACTATCTTTGTGTTGAGGGATTTAGGGAGCATGCTATAGGGAGCATGTTATGCTGCACTTGACTTGAGATTCAAACTGGTATTAGCATTTAGTGGCCTCCCACCTTTAAGAGACTCTGGATGCCCAGGTGCTGCTTTTAAGTATAGTATTAGAAGAAAACTTCTAACACACATAAGTATTCTAGAATGCTTCACCTACCAGCTTTCATAAAGCTCCTTTACCTCTGTTTTCTTTTTTTATTCTTCTATCACAGGTTAGAAACTAATAGAGAAAATCTGATTGGTTGTCTTGGGAAACCCATGCAGTTCTTAGCAGTATACTGATAAATAAAACTTCCTTCAGTGTTTGTCCACAGGAGGCACTGAACTGTTTGATCTGTAGATAATGCATATCTGCAGGTAAAGCATACTTCCAGGCGCACATTAAAAAGTTTGAGCCCAGTTATGTATTAAAGTGGGATAAATGTCTAAGAAGTCTAACTAGTCTTAAAAAATGCCCCCCCCCCCCCACACCTATCTTGTCTAACCTGTAAAAAACAGATGTGTCCTTACTTATTTTTAATCTACTCCAGTCCGGTCATGTGGTCCTGCACCTCCGGCTCAGGGAGATCTCAACAACAGCTGGGAATTCTGGGAGCTATGATGTCACCCATAGGCTTCCATGGCCCAGTCATTGTTGGTGCTCCCTCCTCTCCCCTGCAGAAGCTGCTCACCAGCACAGGGAAGCTGGAGCTGTGGGATCACATAACCAGACCAGAGCAGATTATAAATTGGTAAGTACACAGATCTTTTTTATACAGGCTAGATGGGATAGGTAATGAGGAGGAAGAAGGGAATATTTAGACACAGGTTTTTCCTCTACTTTAATATTTAAAAAATCATTACACGTATTTTTGAAAAACTACTAGTTTATTTACATTCATAGACATTGTGCTACATTATAAATCACAAACAATAAACAGGAAAGAGGTACCAACTATGCATGAGTTTTACCTGATTGCAGGCTAAAGCTGGCCATACACTATACAATCTAATTGTCCTATCCTTTATTTGTACAAACTTTACCCTAAACTATGTAACATGAGGACAAGCCTAAACAATCCATGCAATATGCATCAAACCAGGGAGGCCCTTAAGCTACATTGTTGCTTTGCACACTCTTTGACTGTGAATGCCAATCAATGCACCTGTCACTAAATAAAATAGTAAGCGTACAGCCTGTTTACATGTTGCATTTGCCTTGTTTCAAAAAGTATACCCCACATTGCTTTCTTGGTGCTTCAAAGCGTCTATAAAGCCTCCATAGAAGTCTATGACAAGACTCGCTAACAGCACCTGCAGCTTTTGAGAGGCTTTTATTCAGGTTTAGCTTTGCTTTGTTTTGGAGGTATTGCTATATGAGACATGCCAGGATGCACTGGGAAACCAATAAGCGCACCCGAAAGACATCATCAGCAGTCACTGCTGGTTCATGAGTATATATTCTGGAAGTGTCTGGTGTAGATGTCACATCTGGTGTGGAGTGAGGAGCAGCAGGAAGGTGAACAGGATCTGAACTGGAACGGAGCAACTAGCAAGATGGCACACATGGTGTGCAAAATCTAAAGGTGAGCGGGGACTGGAGAGAGAGAACTGAGCGGCAGAAGATGAGCAAAGCTAGGGGACTGGAGCAGGACAATCTAGTCACACATGGTGCACAGTTTGGGGGGAATATTTTGGGAGGTGAGTGGAGACCACTCATGGAGGAGGTTCAGCAAACCAGGGGATCAACAGAGTTGGGAGTTACTACTTAGTGGGGGAGCAGCAGAGCTGGGGGTTACTACTGAGCTGAGAGCGGCAGAGCTGGGGGTTATTACTGAGCAGGGGATCAGCAAAGCTGGGGGTACTAGTGAGTGGGTCATCAGCAGAGCTGGAGGTACTAGTGAGCAGGGGATCTGCTGAATGAAGATACTAATAAGCTGGGGATCTGCTGAATGAGGGTACCAATGAGCTTGGGATCTGCTGAACAAGGGTATCAATGAGCTGGGGTTCTACTGGACCCATTTAAAACAAACCAAAACACACACACTGGGCATTTGCCAAGCTTCATTACATCAAAACAGCATGTTGAAGCGGTAGGTGCTTTAATGTGTGTTAAAATTGAAGCAAGTGTAAATGAGCACTAAAAGAGATTGTAAAATAAGAATGGATAGTGTATGACCAGAGTACAAGTGCACAGCTAGCTGTAGCAAGCAGATTTGAGAGGACTTTACATTACATTTTACAGTGCTGTTGGTCTACTTTATTTCAGTTGCCTAGATCAGGGATCATAGGAAATCACTCACAAACACATGCAGACTCCACCTCCGCAATATCGCCAAAATACGCTCCTTCCTTACCCCAGACACCACTAAACTACTTGTGCACTCCCTGATTATCTCACGCCTTGACTACTGCAACTCCCTCCTCACCGCCTACCCCAGTGCAGGCTCTCCCCGCTTCAGACCATCCTCAACTCAGCGGCTAGACTCATCCTCCTCACCACCCGCTCCACCTCTGCCACCCCCCTCTGCCTCTCCCTCCACTGGCTCCCTATCGCCCAACGCATCAAATTCAAACTACTCACTCTGACCTACAAAGCCATTCACAACACTGCCCCTACTACCTCACCAACCTGATTCCCAAGTACCACCCTACCCGTACCCTTCGCTCTTCACAGGACCTCCTTCTATCTTGCTCCCTGGTCTCCTCCTCACACGCACGTCTGCAAGACTTCTCCAGGTCCTCCCCCATCCTCTGGAACTCACTACCCCAATCCATCAGACTGTCACCTTCCCTCCTCACCTTCAGGCGCTCCCTGAAAACCCACCTCTTCAGGGAAGCCTACCCCACCCTCACCTAACTGCTGCTCTCCTTCATTCCTCCTACCACTCCATCCCCCACAGCCACTTCCTCCTGTACCACTACCCCCTCCCTCCTAGATTGTAAGCTCGAAAGAGTAGGGCCCTATAACCCCCTCGTGTGCTGTTTGTAGTTGCTGTAATGTTTCATGTATTGTCCCCCCCTCTATTGTACAGCGCTGAGCAAACCCTTTGGCGCTATATAAACTCAATGTAATGTAATAATGTAATAGGAAGGGCAGGATCAGGGCAGGGATCATAGGAAGGAGCAGCACAAGGGGATAACCCACCAGTGTTTGGAGGCTTCTGTATGGTCCAGTGTGTAGATAGGCTCTGTAGAGCTGTACCACACTCTGCATATACAGCGTGCCATGGGGGTTTGCGTCACACAGATATACTGAATCGGTAGGAAAAATAGTAAATTTAAGCTGTGTATTTAGATATTTAGCAAGAGTTCAATTTTAGCTTTATGCTAATGTGTTTTTACACTTAAGCTGAAATGGCAAAAACATTTTATTATATGAGTCCCTGCAAATATTTTCCTTTTTCTGTCTTATGACAGTTAAACAACTGATTAAAATGTCTTCTTTCTTAACTTCATAGAGAATGTGTTTATCCATGCTGCTGAATCTACATCACGGTAGGTACCATTTGTTGACTACTTAGACATAGACATACCCTAGTAATACATTCTTTTAGATGTTTTATGTTCCCCTCTCATACATCAGTTCTCATAATAAAAGACTCGGTTCACTTTCCAGAATTATTTTACTGGATTTGTTCATTATCACTGCAATATTCTGAAAGATATATTAATACTCGACAGAGAATAATATCTACTATGTTTACTAAATGTTTTATTTGGGTAATTTACATTACATGTTGGTGGCAACTAGACTTCTGAAGCATGCAGACACCACTCACAAATGATGAGTTTAGGTGTTTTCAGTACTGTAATGGTACAACATACAATGATGTTACAGGCAATTGTCTGTTTCCAGCTTCCAGGTTCTTTTCTCTGGGGTAAAGTTCACACTGTTATGGAAAGACTGTTTTTGAGATGAGCACCATTTTCATTTTGAGAAGTAGAATTACATTGAATAATCCAATGCAGAAAACGTTTAGGCCCTGTTCACACCAGAATGCACTGTAGTTGCGATCTGCAGCAGGTGTCAATGTTAATTTAATGGAATTCCAAATACAGGGCGCAAATGCAGTGCATTTGACTGCACGGGATAACATGGTACAAAAGTACCATGTGATCTGGTTGCAGTTTGTTTCCAAAAGAAGTGCATACACTACTTTTGGTGTGGTGCAGTGCAATTTGAGCCCATTCAAAATATATGGGCTCAAATTGCACCACATTGAACCACATGTGAATCGTACAGGAATGTGCAGTACATTCCTGTGCGATTCTTAGTGTGAACCGGCCCTTATAATGTGACAAAGTACACAAACCATTCATCTAACTGAGCTTATATGAAAGCACTTCTACTGGTGGTGTTTAGTGTTTACTATTATTTCTTTATATTAATTTATATAGCCTATAGTGGTAAGAAAGAGCAACAAGCCTCCAAATGCTCTGTCTTTTTTGTCTTCTTATTTTGAAACCTTCTTTTGGTCACATCTAGACATTTATAGCTAAAGTGGTTGTAACCTTAAAATTTGTATTTTTTTTTATAACAAACATGTTCATACTTACCTACTCCTGGCTCCTCCTCCCTGTCCAGTGCCCCCATAAGAAGTCATATTGACACAGATAGTGCCTCTTGCTCCCTTGTCACTGGCTTTGATTAACAGCAGTGAAAGCCAGTGGCTCCTGGTTCCCCAGCAAAGCCTGTGAGACCTGGAACCTAGGGGAGAGAAGAGCTGCAGATGTGCACAGCGCTGGATCGAATGAGGGTTCAGGTAAGCAATATTGGGGGTGAGAAGGGATACTGATGCCTAAACAATCTTTACCTAATAAAATGGTTATGCTTTATAACTGCTTTAACAGATAACTATAGGGGTGTCATGTGACTGGTGAGGTATATTTTCTTCCACAATTCACAATCGAGAACTGGAAGTAGAGATAGGGCGTACAAGGGCAATAGAAGGGCACAGGAGCCTGGGTGTGAAAACTGGTAACTTGAACCTGAGAGCACTGGAACTGGATGTGCAGAAGTACAGCTGATAATACATTGAGGATGCAGCAAGTTCAGGTATGAGTTGAGTCAGGCTACAAGAGGGGTTGGTAACCGATGAGCAGTGGAGTACTAACTGTAAGAAAATTCAAGCTCAGGAACAAGTAGAGATTGGTGACAACAAGGAGGCATTGAGGTACCAAATCAATAAGCAGAATCTTAGTCTGAAGTCCAGGTCACGATTGGTAAAGGAGATGAACTCCAGGCATGAGCAAATAAGGAGAATCCAGGAGCAGGTCAGGCATAAATAGCCTGCTTACTGCCAGCCTCTAGGGTGGCACCCTACATGTGTGCAAGGTCATGCAACTACTTAGGTTTTTCAACACACCAATATGCGGAATGCTTATGTATCAGTGTTAACTCACACAGTATTCCTGATAAAGGGAAATGGTGTGCAGGGGATATTAAACTATTATTAAACCCAAAAGCACATATTTATGATATTGCAATATTCCTAGATGTGGGTGGTTGCAGTAGTTTCTTTCTTTTATTTTTACCAGATGATCCTGCCAGTAGGTCTGTTGTTTTTCAACGGCACAAGCTGTCATGTAGATGTAGCGGTTAGACTTACAATGATCAGCTTTTATTCATATATGTAAAACCTTTGTCCTAAATGGACAAAACTGTTGCTGTAGCTGCTTGTAAAGTATTAGCTGGAGTTTAGCTTCATTGTGTTAGTGTATTAAAATCTGCTAGTCCATCTAACACTACCCTCCCCCCAGACTGAAAATGCTGCTGTCCAAAAGTGTCTCTGTGCTCCTTTGTCCAGAATATAGGAATTCTAATACAGGAGGTGTATTACTGGCCAGATCACAAGGTGCAAACAGAAGGAAAAAAGAAAACAACTGCAGCCACCACATCTAATGTTGGTAAACTGCAATATATTTTTAGTTTTGGGTATATTACTGGTTTAAATCAGAAATTTCAGTATAGCTCAGGAATTATGAAATCATCTCCCTTTTCCTTGATTGTTGCCCTGAAAGGTAGCATAAATGTATAGCAGACAGTATACTTTATTTAATAGAACATTTTAAAATAGTTTTTTTTTCTAAAATAATTGTATTAGAGACAGAAATTTCTTAAAAAATCATCATTATTCAAACATGTCTCTGGTAACATAGGGGGTTATTTATTAAAACTGAAGAGTGAAAACTATGCTGCAACTCTGCATAGAAATCAATCAGCTTTCAGGTTTTATTGCCAAAGCTTCATTGAACAAGCTGAAGTTAGAAGCTGATTGGCTACCATGCAAAGCTGCACCACATTCTGAGTGCACCAGCTTTAGTAAATCTCCCCATAGTGTCCACTGCCCTGCCAACAATGAGACAGATTGACATTTAAAGTGAACCTATGCCCAGGTGGACATTATAGACATTAAATTATTTACATATTCTTAACGCGCAGTAAAAGCTCTTAAAAATGTGATTGCACTAATCTCTGTACCCGGCAGCTACTGTGAAGTAATTCATCTTCAAAAATCATAACAGAGATTCTGAAGTTGGGATTAAGCTGGTTTCTACATTAGAAGACTGGCAGGCTACCAGGTCCATGCTGCCTGAGACAGTAGGGGAAATCAGCTGCAATTTGAGTGCCCCTTTGTAAATTTTGGGAATTAGTTTTTCCACAGACCCTGCAACTACAGAGCTCAGTAAAGGCTTGTTTTAAGTCTATTTGACTGCAATAAGGGCTTGTTTTAAGTCTATTTGACTGCAATAAGGGCTTGTTTTAAGTCTATTTGCATTTTTAAAAGTAAGTACTTACCGGTCCATAGTCTGGGCACAGTTGTCTTTTGAAGCCTATCACCAGGGAAAACCAAAACCCTCCCTTGCATTTGCCCTGCCCCTGCACTGCAAAGGTTAAATGCTTACTTACATATAGGTGATCAGCACTTTTACTTACCTGATCGCTGCACTCCAGCAGTAGACTCTCGGTGGATGTCCTCAAGTCCCGTGCAGGCTATAGGCATTGCATTGTCCATGCTGATGTCAGAGCACCTTCATCCACCAGAGTGTAGGGGAGATGTGGCTATGGGGACTAGGCTAGCAGCATGAAAGAAGCCTGCGGATTGCAGTGGGTGGGATAAGTAAATGTTCTTTTTCTGGGGCTTCAGACATAAGTGAGCATTTAATCCCTGTATTGCAGGGGCAGCCCCTCTGCAAGGGAGGATTTTTGTTTTCCTGGAATTCATCTTTAAAGTTCTTTTGAGGCAAATGGCACAGAAAAGCATCACCATTTTTCCATAACCTAGTGCTTATTTCCTCTTTAGTTTATGGTTATTCAAACAAGCCATAAACATGTATACAATGGAAACTCAGAAGCAAGTTCTACCAGCTCAGAGACAGATCATCACTTATTGTCATAAAGACAAAAAAACAGCCTTGCTTTATACATGGTGTCCTGCTTCTCAGTTTTAACTTGCAAAAAACAACTTTCTTATTCTCTGTAGGCCATACTGTAATTCCCGTATGTACTAATGAATCCGCTAGCCATACTGTATAACATAAATGGAAAACTTTTGACATGGGACAGAACCAAAGTTGTTGTCTAATGTTGCTACCCGGGATTTATCTAGCTGAAATCTGCCTACAACACCTGCATTTTTCCCTACTTAAGGCAGACTAGAGAATTCAATAAAGCATTAACAACCATTTTGTGGCAGTAGTTCTCTCTGACAATTTAAGACAAGCATTTGCGCCAGTTTTGGTAACATATCCAACACTGGCAGCAAATTCAGGTAGTTCTTTCAACTGCCACCACGGCAGTGACAGATTCTTAAACAATTTCCACCAGTTCTCAAATTAGGGACATGGTGATCAATAAAACTAGCTCTGTGCTGGCATACAGTGGAGCATATAGTGGAACATACTTGTGCTGGAAACGGCCAGGAATGCTACAACTTCCTGAACAGAGCTCTACCCCTGGACCCATTCAGCTGTCAGTTGGGAGATTTCCTGGGTGAGAGCTAAATGTTAACAAAGTAGCTGGGAATAGTGGTGATGTCATTACCCTAATGTGGCTATGCCCATGTTTAGAAAATCACGTGAGTCACAGGGAAGGCTAACCTGATGGGTAACTAATCTCCATGGCCGCAGCAGCTTTTGGGTTGGTTGACCTTGATGGGGAACTGGGAGACTGGTTCCCCATCAGGTTTTTGTTGCTTTGATTGGCAGCGGGTGGCAGTGGGCAGATTCTAAAGCTGCTATTGAAGTGAATCCTGACTATGGATCTACCCACCACCATCAACTAGTCTCTCAGTTCCCCACTGCAAAACTCCAGGGTCAAGCCCCTGTCAGTGTGATGGGTGCATTGGCTGGGGAGGGAGTGCATTGAGGAATGCATGTACAGTATGGACAACCTGGCCCTGTGCCAACCTCCGACAGATTCATGTACCTGTTTATGACAGGTACATGACCCTAGAGCAAATTCTAAGAATTTTGGTGAAGAGGCCCAATCAAAT